GTACATTGTGGAAACTATGCAGGGTATACCGACATGGTCTAAGCAATATCTACGTTAGTGTGACATATTTGTGGGTACCGGTAGCCCTTGAGTAGTCAAGGAGAATACGGGGCCACTGTGTGGTGTCATGAAGCACTAACTAACTTTAGAACCTTTACTTAACCAACTTGGCCATTAGGAAGTAGTGAGATAGCCGGCTTTGGTGTAGTTCGAAGTTGGTTGATACTCGATACTACGCTCATTGAGATCATACTTCTTGGGATATTTCGGTCGCTGTGAAATAGGCTTGTCCTGAAACAATGCCCGACAAGAAAGATCAATGATATTGAGATCCCTTAGAACCCGATTACTATTTCTAGGACATGTTTGAGCCAACTAAACTTCAAGAGGTACTTACCTATAAGACTCCATACAAGCCTAAACCTAAGGACTTGTTTGCCTAGTTTGTATATGCTTACTTGTACATAACATCATAAACATCATAACATCATACTCATTCTCACTAACCATTTTAAGGATTATTGGGATTTATCTTTATTCTGTTTTGTAGGACATGACTTCCATCCGCAGGAATACTATCCAAGTCAATCTCGTAATAATTCCTTCTCAACTCAAAGAGTTAGCATCAAGGGTTCCTGAGAATTCTTCATTCACCGAAATACATGGTCGCCTCCAAAACTTGGTTACCTCTAGCACTGATGAAGATATGATGAATGTGCTTTTCCAGTTCTTTGATCCTTTACGCTATTGCTTCACTTTTCCCGATTATCAGCTTGTGCCTACTCTAGAAGATTTCTATCAACTCTTGAGGATTCCCATTCTCAATCAACTACCCTTTAATGATATGGAAAGATAACCAAGACCTGAAGAGATTGTCTGAGCACTACACTTGCAACAATCTGATGTCACGACTAATTGGGAAATAAGGAGTGGTGTCAAAGGGTTCTTAGCCAAGTTCTTGTTTGAGAAAGCTCAAGATTGTTGGAACTCTTTGGAATTACAATCTTTTGAAGAAATCTTGGCCCTTCTCATCTATGGTATGGTTTTATTTCCAAAGCCTGACCAACTTATAGATGTAAACGTTGTCAAAATCTTTATGTCTCGCAATGTGGTGCCTACTTTGTTGGGAGATATCCTACATTCTTTTCACTCTCGCACTATGAGGAAGAGAGGGATTCTCATGTGTTGCACTCCTCTCTTGGATATATGGTTTATTTCGGATCTTCTCCGGTCTATGTTGAAGAACGAGCAAGGTTTGAGGTGGTCCCATAGGCTGTTGACGCTCAGACATTCAGATATTCATTGGTGTTCTCGATCCTTGGAGAACGTTATTATCATTGACCGTTATGGGGAATTCCCTAATGTCCCTTTTCTTGGCATTAGATGAGGTGTCACTTACAACCCTTTCTTAGTCTTGCGACAGTTTGGTTATGTCCGAAAGGATAGTCCGCATGGGATGCTCATCCATGGAGTAATATTCGACTACGATAGCGACGATCAAGGTTACCGTCATAAGTTTATACGAGCTTGGAGGATGGTAAGCAAAGTGGATAGTAATACGATGGGAAAAAAGAATTCCATTCACCTTGAGCCTTACCTTAGATGGGTACGAGCTCGTGCTCAGAAACTTGTGATGCCTTATCCCTCCATCCTACCAGTTATCATGGAACATGTGGTTGAAGAAAATGTCCCGTACACAGTCCTCCATCCCGACATGCCTACTTCTCTTGAAGACTTGCAAAAGGGTTGGATTCAGTTAAAGGAAGAACAATATACCTTCGAAGCTCAATTATAAGCTAGTGAGAAAAGGGTATTGGAGCTTACAAAGCAGCTGCATGAAGAATAAAGCTTGAACGCCTACATTACGCCGAAGAGGATGTGTTCGATCTTTTTATCTTAGAGATTTATTTTGTAAGCCCAAGAGGAATGATGTAATCATTTTGAACTAATTAATTAAATTTGACATTTTTTCACTATTTGTCTATACAAATTTAAATTTCATAAATCCTTGAAATCATTTGCATATACATCTTCCATGCATCATAACATAACATGTTTTCCATGATAGGTTTCCTTATGTTTCTGCTGTTTATTTCAGTAAGATGGATCTCAAGAAAACAGTAAAGGACTTACAAGCACAAAACTCTCAGTTTCAAGAGACTCTACTGGCCCTAGCCAAGGAGCAACAAGATCTGATGGCGTTGCTGGCAGCCAAAAAGAAACCCAAGAGGAAAGCTCTAGTCAACATGGGTAGAAGATTCAAAGAGTCGGTCTGTCAGATCCCAGTAGTAGAAGACTCATCTGAGGAAGACGAGAATCAGATTGGAGAAGCTAGGAGTACTCAGGATGGGTGTATTAATGATCAAGCGTCTGATGATGATGATTATTTTGACAAGAAATATCCTCCTGCCGATGTCAAATACAAGCAGTTAGAAGACAGATTGAAGGCCGTTGAGATCCAAGTCGTCCCCGGTTTAGATTTTGATGATTTGGATTTAATATTTGGGGTTGTCATTCCCAACAAATTCAAAATACCAGTATTCGCAAAGTACAATGGGGTTTCCTGTCCAAAACTTCACCTGAAATCTTATGTGCACAAGATACAGCCGCACACCGCTGATAAGAAACTCTGAGTTCACTTTTTTCAAGAAAGCTTGGCGGGACGCAACTAGAGTGGTTTTACCAGTTGGATAGTTCCCGTGTCAATACATGGGAAGACTTAGCCACCAATTTCTACCACTAATACCAGTATAATGCCGACTTGGCGCCAACAAGAGTTTAACTGTAAGACATGACAATGAGGAAGAATGAAGGGTTTAAAGAGTACGCCCAAAAGTGGAAAGACCTTTCCAGTAGGGTTCAACCACCTTTGACTGATAGGGAGCACATTGATATGTTTATGAGCACTTTATCTGGTTTATTCTTTAACTTATTGGTTGTCTGTTCTTCTTCCGGTTTCACCGAACTGATCTTAACCGGTGAAAGGGTTGAAAGCGGCATCAAAAGCGGGAAGATTCCCATGGCATCTGCCTCCACTTCCAATACCGTAAATAAACATTTTACCATAAAGAGAAATCAATGATGTGTATGGAGTAAGGGCCCGTACCAAGAAGGATGACCGACCGTCTGTTAATGCTGTCCGAATTTCCAATCTAACTCCTGCTCAAAGACCATATGCCAATCATCAACGGTTTGAGATTCGAGAAGACAATTCACGAGGATAGGCATGTCACTATCCCAAGCCTTACAACACCTACTAAAGGCCAATTTTTTGACATTATGAGATCCTCCGGCCAATCCAGATACCTCTTCACCAAAGTACAATCCAAACGCCAAATGTGCATATCACTCAAGTAGTCCCGAGCATGAGACTGACCAATGTTGGGCACTGAAGAATAAAGTTCAAGACTTGATAGATAACAATACCATTGAATTTGATCCTCCTCCAACTCCGAATGTAATCACCGCGCCTATGCCAAATCATGGCAAGGGTGTCAATGCTGTTGAAAATACAATTTTTGTTTCCTCCGTCAAAGACTTGACTACTCCATTGAACATCATTAAAAAGAATCTGTTGAAAGCCGGGATTTTCCATGGCTGTTTGAAGGACTGTGTTTGCTGTGCCAAACACCTTAATGGATGCGAAGGGCTGAAGGAAGGAATTCAACGCCTAATGAATGACCATGAGATCCTATTTAAAAAGACTCCGCTTGCCAAAAGTTTGACTAATAAATGTGAAGATCTCTCCATCATAACTATCTCAAACAAGCCTATTAAGATCTCCTCCAAGGGTCCTATCTTGAATGAGGATCAATGTAGGATACCATGGAACAAGTTGTTCTACTGTAATAAAGTTAGACCAAGAGCTTGTGTGAGTCTTTGGCTAGCTTGTCATAGTAAACTGGATATTAAAGATAAGTTGAAGAGATTGACATGTTGCAAGATAGCCTTTGTAGTCTTTGTAAAGAGGTTGAGAGATCAATTAAGAATTTGTTCTTTGGCTGTAAAATCACTGATGTTATTTGGTGTAAAGTGCTTAATTTGATAGATGCGAAGCATGATCCAAAGGGTTGGGTGGAAGAGCTTTTATGGAACATTAGAGTCACCAAAGATAAGGGCTGAAGAGCCTTTATCATGAAGATGGCCATAGCCGAGACAGTGTATATCATATGACAGTATAGAAACTTAGTTTGTTTTAACAAAGGAGTTGATAATACAAACATAGATAATAAGATCATAGATAAGATTGTGTATAGAAGATGATAAAATAGAAAGCTTATATGCCACATTACTAAGATGATGATGATGTAATTTTGGTTCTCTTTTGTTTTTGTTTGTCTTGTTGAGATAGTTGGATTCTAGGAATCACCTTGTACCTCTTTATTTTTTTGAATAAATATATACACTTCCTTTTCCTTTTGATTAAAAAAAAGTGTTATACTATTTTTAAACAATCATATAATATATTATTAATAAAAATAGTAATAATTATTATATAATTTAAAAATGGTTAATAAAATACAATTTAATATATACAAATAATTTTTCAAAAGAATTATGTTTATCTAATTTTTTAATTTATAATATAAATATTAATATATTTTTTTCTCATATTAATAATCATTTTGTATGTAAGAATATTTTTGTAATTATATAACTTTATTTTCATTCATTTTCTGCTCATTTTCATTCATACCAAACATATGAAACATCATTTCATTTTTCTTTTATTTTTTATTCCCTTTCATTCTGTAAATTTTCTTTCCTTTCATTTTGTGTTATACTAATGTTTGTTACGAAATAAGCAACAAACACACCACCAATTCATTTGCGTTTTCTTCCGAACAGAGCGCTAATGTTTGTTTCGTCATAAGCAACAAATGCACCACCAATTTGATCATAACAGAAACGATTTTATTTTCTTGGTCTAGCTGAAACGAGAGCAAACTTCAAGAATACAGTACTAGCAAACTTCAAGAACACAGTACTAAAGCTCAAGAATGGCGAAGAGATTTAGCAGCGAACTTTCAACGGTCGTTTTTGCTGAAAAAAGTTTCACCTCTTCTCCCCTAACAGTAAGTTTATCTTTATCAGAGGATGTTAAGTTTGTTTCTTAGATGATGAATTTTCTTTTGATTTAGTTTTTGTTTGTTTGAGTTTTCTTTTGATTTAGTTTTTGTTTGTTTGAATTTAGTGTTGTATTTGAATGTGTATTCGTTTTCTTTTGTTTGTTTGAATTTCATGTTGTTAATAGATCGAAGAACTTCGTTTAAACCGCAATTTCTTGATTTCCGACGAAGCTAATGCACAACTCAGGGCATTGGAATTTTTTGCAACACTAGTTTCTTCAGGTACTAGCACTGTGCAATATTCATACTATTAGATTGATATTACTCTTTCAATGACATTGTCACCACTCGTCTAACTTTCAATGATACATTGTTCAGGCGACCTCCGTCAAATTGAAGTCGTGATTGAGAACGAAATTGTTCCTTGTTTGGTGATATTTTTTTGTCGGAAATCGATGTGAAGCACTAAATGCAGGTATAAATCTTTTTTTATCTTGTTTTTTTTTTTTTGCAATTCCTTGCCAATATATTCTACATTATCATATGTGCAGGCCTTAGCAACATGGGCACTGGCAAACATTGTTGGGATTGTCTAAGCACACCGAAGTTGTCGTTGAAAATGGTGTAGTTCCCCTTCTCGTGCGCTCAGAAATACGTCATCCAAATGAAGGTATGAAACCACAATCTATCTATGCATTATATATGTGTAATGAAACACAGACACTCTAAAATCTATTGATACCTATTGATACGCTACAATATTCAATTTACTCATTTGTTAAACATTTAAGACAATTGAGTGGCTTCCTGTACAACTTGTGCTTTTTTTTATTTTAAAATGGATGTGTTTTCTATGTTTATATTTTAAATTGTACATATATAAATGTACATTTTGATTGATATATTTACAGTGTATAATGGTTACATATTCATATAACTTAGTCAAAATCTCTATACCACTCGTAGAATGGTTCGATTTTACGATCCTGATAGAGCTTGGCGATCTTGTGAAGGCAAAAACTTGGATTTCCACCATATAGGATCTCGATTTTGACTATCTTACCTATAAAGGAATATAATAAGTTGGAGTTCGGACAGTATAGCTCCTTCATCATGCTTATCTCCATTCGCCACGGATAATAATTCCCAAAGGAATGGCAATACAGTAGGTATCTGATGATGAAGAAAAAATAAGAAAATATGCAATTGATAATAAAAAAATGTACAAATTAATGAACAATACTTTTTGCAAATTAACCGAACCTGATCATTAAATCTTAGAGGAATATTTTCATTACACATCTTTCGTAATGTCCATTTAGTAATCATCATTATGTGTTTGTTAGTAGTTTTCAATGTGTACATCAGTAGTGGTGTGAGTGCACCGTTTTCAACAACAATATCCCTTTTCTATAAAGAATCATAGGTTATATTTCCTAATGCCCATGCATTCTGCTCAATACTAAACTTGTTTACTGAGACAGGGATGATTTAATTTAAATGTGTAATTTAGTTTTTTTACATGATATAGTTGTTTAGTATTGAGCAGGCTGCATGGGCGTTAGGAAATATAGCCGGTTCTTTAGAGAAAAAGGATATTGTTGTTGAAAATGGTGCACTCACGTCACTGATGTGTATGTCGAAAACTACTAACAAACACATGCTGATGATTACTAAATGGACATTACGAAATATGTGTAATGAAAATATTATTTAATGATCAGGTTCCGTTAATTTGCACAAAATATTGTTCATTAATTTGAACTTTTTTTTTATTATCAATTGCATTTTTCTTATTTTTTTCCATCAGATACCTCCTGTATTGCCTTTTCTTTGGGAATTATTATCGTGGCGGATGGAGATAAGACTATACTATCCGGACTCTAACTTGTTATATTCCTTGATCATTCAAGTGAACTATACAAAAGTCTTAGCTGAAGAAGACGTGTATTTGCGAATCGTAGAATTTCTTTTGTAAGTATATTAATATAGTTTTTAGTAAAATTATTCTTTGACTGACTAACATATTGGATTTCATTATTACAACTAAAATATAGTCAGCTTACTTTGTATGCTTTAATGGTCATAGGAAATTTGGCACCCTGTGGAAAGGCACAAAAACAAGTAAAATGCTACTGCCCCATTTTTTTCATAGATCTTTTATCACATATCACTAAATTTGCAGTGTGTTTTTTAAATCATAATCGACACTGGAGCTCTCTTTGGCCTTAAGTGGCTACTTAAACTGATCCTTAAAGAAGCATGTTGGATAATTGGGAACCTAGTAGGTGGAACAACATGCCATTTACAGGTAAAATATGATTTGACCTCGAAAAGTATTTGTTTGTTTGAAAACTCTAAACTCATCGGACGTGGACAATTGGTTACTTAAGCAAAGTATAAATTTGATTGTTATTTTGAATACTCTAAACTTGTTCCTTGATATGTAGGCTGTCATTGATGAGGGTTTTATCCCTATTCTGATTGATCTTATGAAGAATAAATTTGACATCAGGTATGAGGCTGCATGGGCAGTTTATTCTGTCAGTTGTGGAAGCTTTAAACAAACAAGGTAAGTCTTACCATTAGATTTAATTTTCATTGTAGAAGTTATTGAATGCGTAAAGGGATTATGTAATCTCCTTAGTTTTACAAGCGACCCAAAGTTACTTGATGTGTGCCTAAATGGGTTAAACAATTTCTTAATTCAAGGCGACATGCTAAGGAAAAAATCTACTGCCAACATTTATGCCGAAACAATTAAAAATGATCAGATATTTGGTTTAAGGAGGTTGTGGAGTTTGAAGGATCACAACAATGAAGAGGTTTCTTACTTGGCAGTTAAAATTTTTGAGGAGTATTGGTCTTCGTAAAGAGGTCAAATGGAAATGTAGTGCAAACAGTGTTTTAAGAACAAAGAAGTTTTCTGTCTTTTAAGAACAGAGAAGTTTTATGAAAATAGTGTTTTGAACCAAGGCCTTAATCCAATTAGCATCTGACATAATTGATATTGATGATGTAATTTTGCTTTTAATGTACTAATATATTGAAAATCCATCCAAAAGTTATAATTGTCTTGTGAAAATAGTGTTTTGAGCCAAGGCCTTAATCCAATTAGCATCTGACATAATTGATATTGATGATGTAATTTTGCTTTTAATGTACTAATATATGGAAAATCCATCCAAAAGTTATACCTGTCGCGAATACTATCCATCTCCATCTACTAACAAAGTCAATCCGCTTTGAAACTTTAGTTGCAAAAAATCCATGATCACAAAACGCTTTGATTAGATCTCGGAATCAACTCGTTCTAATACAAAGTCATTGTAAAAATTCTAACTATCATCAATGGACAATTAAATTCCAAAAAAGATTGTTACTCTAATGAAAAATTGACTGCATTACTATTGCTAGATCCACGCATGCATAAAACACAAAAATCCAAGACATATCAGTAAAAAGCATTGCTAACACTTATTATATCTCAATTACTTACTTGATTCAAACAATAAACAATTATGATCTTAAGCAAAACTTCACAGATTAGATAGTAAGTATATACCAATTGATTAAATAAAAGCCAATTTTCATTAGTAGAGCTGGAAAAAAATTGAAGAAAGGAAATTTTATTACTTCAAAAAAACACTACAAACACGGAGATCCAAAGAGATCCAGCCACCCAAAAGACTACACGGAAACATTAGTTTGCTAAGATAGCCCCTTAGCCTAGACTTAGCCCAACATCTATATACAATACAATCAATGATCTTAGGCCCAATATCCTGGATACTACTAATCCCGCCAAAACAACAAGTATTCCTGTAATTCCAAGTCTCATACACCGTCTCTGCCAATGCACATTTGAAAAGTAGTTCCTCATTCCATTCGCTGGGCGAATTGGTGGATTTGGAGCCACTGAAGCACATGCATCCAAATCCCTTTAACACCATTGCCACAAATAAAAGATGTTGCAAAATTTCTTGCTGCCTGCATAAAACACAATTGCCATTATCAACAAACCCAAATCTGATCATTCTATCTTTGGTTGCAAGTCTGCCATGACATGCCAACCACGGTGAATAAAACTCTCGGCCTTGCTATATTTCCATTCAGAATTTTCCTCCAATTAACCACCGGGTCCTGCACCTTGAGATTATGATACATAATGCTTGTCTGAAACTTTTCCTGCTGTAACATTGCATCCCAAGTCTGGTAGAGCTGAGTTTATGACAGAGCCTACTACTACAATACAATTGTAGAAATAATATTCTTAATCAAAAGAACACATCCACACAGCATAAAGTGATTTCATGTTTCTAGTGGCAATATAAATAACTCTTAAATATATCTCTATAGCTTGAGTCATTATCTTTAACCATATCATTCATTTTTCAACATAATCAGCCTAATGTTGCAGAACAGAAAAGACCACATCATCTCTGCACTAACCAAAATATTCTGCATTGCTTCCTCAATAAAAAGCCATACCCCAATATCATTACCTTCCATTTGATTAATTCAACTGCCTTGCTAATAGCAAAAGGCTTGTATGTTGTAGCTACTAATACATGCCAAGAAAACATGTGTACAAAGGCTTTTTTAACAAACAAAAAAGAATAAAAATCAGTGTGAGAATCATTTGGAATTTGAAGAGAAACTTTCTCATTTGAAAACACAGAAATGCTTAATTAAGAGCTTCCTTCAGATTAAGGTTTAATTTGGAGTTATTGTTGGAGGTAGAATTAGAAAGGCAGAAGTTTTTAGTTACATTAGATGCATAAATATATTAAAAAATGAGAAAGTTTCTTCCTCTAACACCACCAAATTCTCAACCACTTGGGATTTCCAAAACATGAGACAACCCAATCAGTGAATTAAGACACTCCGTAAAAGATGAATGGTGGTAAAAGAGTGACATCCAAAATAACTATTTTCAATTCTACTAAATCATACCCGTTTTCTTTGACAAACTCTGCACCGGCAATATTCATACTATTTAGCTTGATATTACTCTTTAAATGACATTGTCACCACTCGTCTAACTTTCAATGATACATTCGTCAGGCGACCTCCGTCAAACGACATTGTTCCTTGTTTGGTGATTTTTTTGTCGAAAATAGGTGTGAAGCACCAACTGCAGGTATAAATCTTTTTTTATCTTGTTCTTTTTTTTTTTGCGATTCCTTTCCAATATATTCTACGTTATGCCGGCCTTAGCAACATGGGCACGGGGAAACATTGCTGGGGGATTGTCTAAGCACACCGAAGTTTTCGTTGAAAATGGTGTAGTTCCCCTTCTCGTGCGGCTGCTGAGCCGTAAGAAATAGTCATCCAAATGAAGGTATGAAACCACAATCTATCTATGCATTATGTATGTGTAATGAAACACAAATACTCTAAAATTTATTGATACGCTTCATTTACTCATTTGTTAGACATTTAAGACAATTGAGTGGCTTCCTGTACAACTTGTGCTCCTCTGCTTTTTTTTTTTTTTAAATGCATGTGTTTTCTATGTTTATATTTTAAATTGTACATATATAAATGTGCATTTTGATTGATATGTTTACAGTAGGGTATAATGGTTGCATATTCATATAATCATGGTAGTCAAAATCGCGATCCCGATTTTACGATCGTGATAGAGCTTGCAGATTTTGTGAAGGCAAAAACTTGGATTTCCACTATATAGGATCTCGATTTTGACTATCTTATCTATAACTTAGAGCAGGTATGAAATATAAGGAATATAACAAGTTGGAGTCCGGATAGTATAACTCCTTCATCAGGTTATCTGCATCCGCCATCCATAATAATTCCCGAAAGAAAAGCAATACATGATGGATATGATGAAGAAAAAATAAGACAACATACCATTGATAATATAAAAAAGTTCAAATTAATGAACAATACTGTGTGCAAATTAACCGAACCTGATCATTAAATCTTGGAGGAATATTTTCATTGCACATCTTTCGTAATGTCCATTTAGTAATCATCAGGACGTGTTTGTTTGTAGTTTTCAACGTACACATCAGTGGCGCGAGTGCACCATTTTCAACAACAATATCCCTTTTCTCTAAAGAATCACATGCTATATTTCCTAATGTCCATGCAGCCTGCTCAATATTAAATAGTTATATTATGTAAAAAAAAAACTAAATTACACGTTTAAATTAAATCATATAAATAAATTTGTTTATTGAGGCAGATATGATTTAATTTAAATGTGTAATTTAATTTTTTGTACATGATATAACTGTTTATTATTGAGCAGACTGCATAGACGTTGGAAAATATAGCCTATGATTCTTTAGAGAAAAGGGATATTGTTGTTGAAAATGGTGGACTCGCGCCACTGTTGTGAATGTTTAAAACTACTAACAAACACGTCTGGATGATTACTAAATGGAAATTACGAAATATGTGCAATGAAAATATTCCTCCAAGATTTAATAGGTTCCATTAATTTGCACAAAGTGTTGTTTATTAATTTGGACTTTTTTTTATTATCAATTGTATGTTGTCTTATTTTTTCTTCATCAGATATCTCATGTATTGCATTTACTTTGGAAATTATTATCGGTGGCGGATGGAGATAAGCCTGATGAAGGAGCTATACTATCCGGACTCCAACTTGTTATATTCCTTGATCATTCAAGTGAACTATACAAAGTCTTAGCTGAAGAAGACGTGTATTTGTGAATCGTAGAATTTCTTTTGTAAGTACATTAATATAGTTTTTAGTAAAATTATTCTTTGGTTGACTGACTAACCTATTGGATTTCATTATTACAGCTATGATCCTAAATATAGTCAGCTTGCTTTGTATGCTTTAATGGTCATAGGAAATTTGGCACCGTGTGGAAAGGCACAAAAACAAGTAAAATGCTACTAGAGCCCTCATTTTTTCCACATATCACTAAATTTGCAGTGTGTTTTTTAGATCATAATCGACACTGGAGCTCTCTTTGGCCTTAAGTGGCTACTTAAGCAAACTGATCCTTAAAGAAGCAGGTTGGATAATTGGGAACCTAGTAGGTGGAACAACATGCCTTTTACAGGTAAAATATGATTTGACCTCGAAAATTGTTTGTTTGTTTGAAAACTCTAAACTCTAAACTCATCGCACGTGGACAATTGGTTACTTAAACAAAGTATAACTTTGATTGTTTTTTTGAAAACTCTAAACTTGTTCCTTGATATGTAGACTGTCATTGATGAGGGTTTATCCCTATTCGATCTTATGAAGAATAAATTTGACATCAGGTATGAGGCTGCATGGGCAGTTTATTCTGTCAGTTGTGGAAGCTTTAAACAAATAAGGTAAGTCTTACCATTAGATTTAATTTTCCTTCATTCATTTAGCCAGTCTCATTCTATGTGGTGGGTATTGTGGAAAATATTTAATACCATTAATTGTGGATAATTATAGGTACTTGCTGCATATAGAAGTTATTGAATGCGTAAAGGGATTATGTAATCTCCTTAGTTTTACAAGCGACCCAAAGTTACTTGATGTGTGTCTAAATGGGTTAAACAATTTCTTAATTCAAGGCAACATGCTAAGGAAAAAATCTACTGCCAACGTTTATGCCAAAACAATTAAAAATGATTAGATATTTGATTTAAGGAGGTTGTCGAGTTTGAAGGATCACAACAATGAAGAGATTTCTTACTTGGCTGTTAAAATTTTTGAAGAGTATTGGTCTTCAGAAAGAGGTCAAATGGAAATGTAGTGTCTTGTGCAAATAGTGTTTTAAGAACAGAGAAGTTTTCTGTCTTTTAAGAACAGAAGTTTTATGAAAATAGTATTTTGAACCAAGGCGTTAATCCAATTAGCATCTGACATAATTGATATTGATGATGTAATTTTGCTTTTAATGTACTAATATATTGAAAATCCATCCAAAAGTTATATCTGTCGCGAATACTATCCATCTCCATCTACTAACAAAGTCAATCCGCTTTGAAACTTCAGTTGCAAAAAATCCATGATCACAAATTGCTTTGATTAGATCCTAGAATCAACTCGTTCTAATACAAAGTCATTGTAAAAATTATAACTATCTGCATTACTATTGCTAGATCCACGCATGCATAAAACACAAAAATCCAAGACATATCATCAAAAGTTTGAGTAAAAAAGCATTGCTAACACTTATTATATCTCAATTATTTACTTGATTCAAACAATAAACAATTATGATCTTAAGCAAAACTTCACAAACTAGATAGTAAGTATATACCAATTGATTAAATAAAAGCCAATTTTCATTAGTAGAGCTGAAAAAAGTTGAAGAAAGGAAATTTTATTATTTCAAAAAAACACTACAAGCACGGCGGGATCCAGCCACCCAGAAGACTACACACACTAAGGAAACATTAGTTTGCTAAGATAGCCCCTTAGCCCAACATCTATACACAATACAATCAATGATCTTAGGCCCAATATCCTGGATACTACTAACCCCACCAAAACAGTCAGTATTCCTGTAATTCCAAGTCTCATACACAGTCTCTGCCAATGCACATTTGAAAAGTAGTTCCTCATTCCATTCACCGGGCGAAATGGTGGATTTGGAGCCACTGAAGCACATGCATCCAAATCCCTTTAACACCATTGCCACAAATAAAAGATGTTTGCAAAATTTCTTGCTGCCTGCATAAAACACAATTGCCATTATCAACAAACCCAAATCTGATCATTCTATCTTTGGTTGCATGTCTGCCATGACATGCCAACCACAGTGAATAAAGCTCTCGGCCTTGCTATATTTCCATTCAGAATTTTCCTCCAATTAATCACCGGGTCCTGCACCTTGAGATTATGATACATAATGCTTGTCTGAAACCTTTCCTGCTGTAACATTGCATCCCAAGTCTGGTAGAGCTGGAAAATTACAGTCACAAATAAATAAGGTGAGTTTATGACAGACAGCCTACTACTACCATACAATTGTAGAAATAATATTCTTAATCAAAAGAACACATCCACACAGCATAAAGTGATTTCATGTTTCTAGTGGCAATATAAATAACTCTTAAATACATCTCTATAGCTCGAGTCATTATCTTTAACCATATCATTCATTTTTCAACATAATCAGCCTAATGTTGCAGAACAGAAAAGACCACATCATCTCTGCACTAACCAAAATATTCTGCATTGCTTCCTCAATAAAAAGCCATACCCCAATATCATTACCTTCCATTTGATTAATTCAACTGCCTTGCTAATAGCAAAAGGCTGGTATGTACTAATCCATGCCAAGAAAACATGTGTACAAAGGCTTTTTTAACAAACAAAAAGGAATAAAAATCAGTGTGAGTATCATTTGAAAACACGGAAATGCTTAATTAAGAGCTTCCTTCACATTCAGGTTTAATTTGGTGTTATTGTTGGAGGTAGAATTAGAAAGGCAGAAGTTTTTAGTTACATTAGATATGCCTCTAGCAAACTATTGATCAAGGAAAATGCAAGCTATAGTTCTAAACTTGAAGACCATTCTAGCAATACCCTATTTACAACATTGCTGAAGTAAATAAGGTGTTGAGTAATTCTCACATCACTTTGTGGAAATAAATATGACAAAGAATCTTATCAAGTGACATAATTTAAGGCAAAGCCAGGTAAAGAAATACAATATAAAATTACATAGAGTACCAAATTGCTTGCATTATACAAAATATGAAATCTTTCAGAAATACAAAAGCAATTATCATGCACAAACTAATGAGGAAATACACATATGTAAACTGAATTAATTTAATTAAAAAAACAATTCCTCATGGAAGTGTTGCCCAATCCATAACAGAAGTAAATATGAAAAGAAAGACATGTTACATTTCAGAATTCAAACTTCAGAAAACAATGCATCCTTGACGCAAGCGGAGGAGTTTCCTCTCAGTTTCAGTGAAATGAATATGAGGTGGAGCAGTTATCTTTCTCAATGATGGACTTGAAAATAGCATTGAGGCAGCAACATTGGTGTGCACATTCAAACAGTTATTCAAATTGATCTCTCTGAGTTGCGTGCAGTTCTCTACCACATGTTTGACTCCCTTGTGTGTGCATCGAGAACAATTAATTAATAACAATTGCAAAAGGCCAGAACAATTTTTTGAGATCACATGGAGTGTTGCATCGTCAACTTGTGAAGACGTCAAGTTTAGCATCTTGAGGTGGGGAACTTGAAAGTTCATTTCAAGTAGATTCAGTCCTGAAGTTAAGTTACAGAATGATAAATCCAAATGACTTATCTTGCGGCATCTCTTTAAAACTTGAACAATAGCTTGTAGCGATATGTTTTTGCAAGATTTCAAATCAAGTAGTTGCAAATTGGGGAAAGCAGAAACAAACATTATGATGATTTGGTCAATTAACCATGAATTGTTAGGCAAATAGAGAGACTTTAATTGAGGGTATAGTCCAAAATCAATCAAATAATCATCATAATAATTCAGTACACTGTTGGCCCCAATATATTCCATTTTGATGTGAGTGAGTGAAGGACATTTCCTAACAAGTGTAAACAAAGGTGAATGTGTGAGCATATAACAACATCTAAGGCTTAGAGACACCAAAGCGACGAGATATGAAGACAATTCGATAAGATGACGATCATTCAGAAATGAGACGACAAAAAGATCTAAATGTTGGATAGAATGACAGTTGGATAACAAAGTAAATAGTCCGGCATAAGTATAGCCGTCGCATTGACGAATGGAAAACCTGTTCAAAGGAAGACCTTGGATTGCAATAGAGGTGAGCAGTTGATCCGAAATAGAGCAAAAGGAAAGATCAATATTGGTTAAAGCCTTCAAAGTGCACAAGGAGTCAATGATTTGTGGAATAATCAACACGGGAAGGGACAAATACCTCAATGTTGTTGGTTTCTCACGGATAGCATAAACAACTCCTTGTTCGGTTATATCACAAGATTGACGCACGGTGAGGTCTTCTAGGAGCTTGCAGTTCTTAAACAGGTGAAAAATGGATTTGTCATCGATATAATAATGACCAGAGAGATTAAGCTTGCGGAGTTTGGAAAGTGACAATGAAAGAGCCTCAATCCCATGGAAGAATCTTTCGCAAGAATCGCCATCGTCATCGTAGACAAGATTTTCAGTAAGGTCGAGTTCGAGTTGTTCTAGTAAAGGGAAACATTGGGCGATGAGGAACAAGTGAGTGCTTTTGAAAGAATCTATGTCAGAACAAATGAGAGAGGTTAAAGTTGTAATATTTTGAGAGAAAGCTAGTAAACCACTGGCGGGAATAGTAGGTTTGTGAGAGATATTGAGTGATAGGAGGTGGTTGAATGGGAAAAGAGAGATCTGATGGAGAAGTGCATCAAGGTCACCGTGGAAGTGAGTGAGGTCGAGGGAGGTAAGGTTTGTGAATCTATGGAAGAGGCGGGATAGGAAAGGGGTTGTTGGATCATAAATAGTGAGAGATGATCGGATACAGTTGGTGATGGAGAACAACTGCTTTGAGACGACGGAGATAGACTTCAAGTTACGTTTATCATCGTAGTCGTCCCCGTCGCCGATCATAAATTTCAACACATTTTCCCAACATTCATCTGGTAAATATGAATATTTTGCATCTTCCCTTATTTTACTTCTCTTGCTTTCCATTGATATTCTATCTCACTGTTTCTTAACTTGCTTTCCGTTGATATTTTATCTCACTGTTTCTTAACTTTTATAATACTTTTTACTGGATTGGGCCTTACAAATGTAGGCCACATATAGTCCATACTATTTACCCGTCTATGATTTTAATAATAGACTATACTTACTACTTATGTGCATATATTTTTTCCAATGAAATTGTATCCAAAAACAAATATGTAATTTCTTCCTATTTTTACTCCTTAAAAAATATTTTAATATATTTATCATATTTTTATTAAAGAAAAATACGAACCACATTTATGGAATTGTATCTAAGAATAAAAAAATCTAGTTATGAATTATATTTTCTACTTATACTCTATAGCTACTTATTTACATAAAAATAACAAAAAATTATACTTGGTGTATTATAATTAGAATTTAATTAATATATATCTATAGTATAAAACAGTTTTACACTGTCAATTAATCATAACCGTCATAATTATATCATATTCTTATAACCGTTTGACTATTTCTTTAATTAGATTCAAACTATTATATATGAATGGTTGTGATGCACTCCATGTGTAAAATTTTTTACATCAATAGTACATGTCAATTAACCTCTTATAATTATTCTCTTTCTTTATTTATAAAAACATTTATTTTAAACTATTTTGTTAATGTCTGCCATTTATTACTTTATGATTTTTATTTTAAATTATAATTATTTTCAATATTATTTATAATACATAAAAAAATTAACTCTAATCTATTATTTATCTATAAAAATTAAAGTACCTGAAATTACCATTACTATATGTTGTACTCTAAAATTTGTCCTCCCATTTTTTATTCAAGATATTATCATAGGTCTTCTCGAATACTCAATTTGGCTCAGAAGTTGATCAGACAAATTCTCTTTCTAGGCAGTAAGTCAACAATTAGGGTTTGGCGTTTCTCAAAGAAAATTGATTCTTCAAGGTTTCAAATGGTCTTCATAGATCTCTATGTCTCCTAAAGGATGTTCATGCCGAGTTTCGAACCTCGCGTTACAAGTTTGCTCAGTCAATGGTTCAGACGACTGAAAATGACTCCATTAACCCAAAAGTTGACCTTTTGCGAGACCAAGTTCAAGAGATTGTAACTTCTTCATTATTCGATATTTTTGAGCGGTTCTTCTTGCGTATGACTCTCCTCGATGTCATATCCAATTTATCTTCACAAATCAAGAGCTGGTTACGTGTAGAAGGTCACCAAAATTCGAATGAGTTAGAAGTCACTCCATGGATTTTTGACCTAATCTTAAGTAATTGTCGCCTGGTTTATAAGAATTGTGATTTCCTCAAATTACAAGATCTTGCGACGATTATTTCCGCATATGGTCATAAGTGATGTCGCTCACGAGTTTATCTTCAGAGATCGAAAGAAAATGGTGTTTGGAAGACTTTGAAAGTTATCGAATCGTCGCAAGTCATTTGTTTAATTTCAAATATTCTTAACCACAATTTGTTTTCCTCAGGACTATTGATTCTCACCTTGAAGTTTGTTAATTTTACAAGATTGATGAATGTTCTTAAAGCATGTTTGTTTTGGAATCAATTTCCATTTTAATCAAGCATGGCGTGCGAGTTCATTTTGAATGCAAGTTTGATTCAGACATGATGTGAAGATTAAGATTTTCATTTAAATGACCATGGTTTGGGTTCGAGTTAACCAAGTGGAATCGAATTCTTAAATATTTATTTTGTTTAGAAATTTGATTGGAGTACAAGGTGCATTGGTTTACTTGAAATACAAGTTACAAAATTCATTAGTGATTGCTTGAAGTTCAAGTTACAAAATCAAGATGTATCATTCAAGCCATTCAATAAAATCCAAGATTTGTACAACAAATTTCATCACTCACAAATTTATTCAAGCTTTGTGTTCATTACATTACAAATAAAATACAAACTACAATTGTTTTGTTTACAAAGAAAGAAATAATGTTTGTTTCTTCAAGTCTTCTTTGTTCCATCTTCAAGCAACTCATCCACTCCTTGCTAGCCATGGTTTTATCTCCGTCTTTTAAACTTTGCCTCGCTTGCCATCCACGCCTCATGTTCATGAAATAAAGAAAAGAAAGTTAGCAAAAAATCAAGCAAAAGAGTATTTGTTAAAAGAGAAATTTCATCACTAGGGTTTGTATATAGGAATCAGAATTTATAATGCTTTTTACTTGCTTCCCGTTGATATTCTATCTCACTTTTTCTTAACTTTTATAATGTTTTTTACTTGATTGGGCCTTGCAAATGCAGGCCACATATAGTGCACACTATTTATCCGTTTATGATTTTAATAAGAAACTATACTTACTACTTAGGTGAATATATATTTTTTCCAATGAAAATATAAAAAGTGTATAATTTCCTCATACACATATGCAATTTCTTCATATTTTTACTCCTTAAAAAATATTTTAATATATTTATCATATTTTTATTAGAGAAAAGTATAAATCACACCTATAGAATTGTATCTAAGTATCCTCCTTATATTTATTCTCAGTTTTACTTAGAAACTATAGAAACTAAGTATTTAGTTATCGGGAGTGGGCTTGACTCACTTGATGTCAAAGCTGATCCTTGAGCTGCACTTTATCGGTGGTGATAAGAACAAAAAAGATCTCGTGCATTTGACATTAATTACATTTGATGTGGCAGTCCAAGAATTTTTGTTGAATTTTCTTTTTTCTTTTATTCCATAATTTATTTAATGTTAATCATTTGTATATTTATAATAGAGATTGAAATTGGAACTATTTGCAATAGAAAACTAGAAAAGCAGTCGTTTGGATTTTCGATCTTCACACCGGCACACGATTTTCAACCCCTTCCCAAGATTCATTCAATAGATTTCCTGTAAGCTATATTAATATAGTTCTCTATATTTATATTAATACAGTGCTCTTCATCTTTCACGATTCTTAAGCATATAAAAAAATACCAAGCTCAGACATGAAAAACGAAACAAGCAGACGCTTACCAGCTACACAAATCCGATGGAAAAAGTTTGAAAGCGTGATGGCTTCCTCGATGCGAAATCGGTCTTGTGGTCTCTGACAAGTCTCTGTCAGCGTTAATTCCTAAGTGACTCCTCTTTAACTCTAAAGTTTCTCCGTTTGGTTTTAAATCTTCAACGTGATGTTGTTGTTGTGTTAATGGCGGCGAAAGAGGTGTAGATGGAAGTAGGAGATTTCGTGTTATCTCTTTTTCTCTTGGCCTATTTTCTATTTAATTCTTTTAGATACGATGCACCATGAATAACTGTTGGTGGGTTTTGTGATGGTTTCAGAAATGGAAGTGAGGTTGATGAAGTTGCTTTGACACAACTATTTGTGACTCCTAATTTCATCCACTTTGCTGAAGGGGATGCCACCAAGAGTTTCAATTTTTCGCATTTAGGGTTTTTGATTTTGTAAATCTAATTTTTGTTTAATTGTTTCAATATCTATTCGTTTATTTATTATGAATTGAAACTGTTTTTGTTTTTGTTTTGGTTTTGTTCGATTTTAGATAACTGGAGTGTTCGATTTTAGATAATTGGAGTGTGAAGGGAATCATGATAAGTACACTTCTTTGGTAGCTAAGATTTCTAAGCAGTGTCTTTTGGTAGGGCCACCGGGAACTGGGAAGACACTATTGGCGAGGGCAGTAGCAGGGGAAGTTGGTACACCGTTCTTTTCAGTTCTTGCCGCATTCCGAGTTTGTTTTATTGTAGTGGGAAATTAAAGTATAAATCATTTATTTCCCAAAACTTTTTATGCATGTTTTATTACATCTCTTGATATGGTTGAAGAGGCAGTTTCCAAACTGAAAATGGAAAACACTTCAACACCTACTGTACTTGAGGATATTAATTGGGCGGTCCTGAAACTAGAGATGGAGAGAGTATCTTGAATTTTGAATTATAACATTTTCTGATTAATCTTTGTTTAAATTTCCTAAGGACTGAGGAGTTTTCAGGAGCATTATTTGAAATTTTTTTGAAAAGATCATTAAATATATAGCTCTTGGTTACTATTATGAACTAACATATTAGCAGAGTTTAGTCTTGGCTGCAATCAATGATGTTCATAAAATGTTTGTATAAAATGTCTAGGTAGAATTGGCACCTTTAATAGGTTTGTGTAAATTATAATTTTCTTCTAACGTATTCCATCCTTTTTCCTACCCAACTTTTGTTGTTAATAATACCTTTTTGGTGAAAAAACATACCAAACTAACATATCAAGCTAATATATTGATTTAATTAAATATCAGGTGGCAAAGAATTTATAGCCATCATACGAACCAGGGAGCATTAGTCGAGTTAAGAGTCAATTAAGTGTCTCTACCATGTGGGAGGAAGGTGAGGAAACATTGTATATGTCGGAGTTACGAATAATGGATTGGAACGGTGTAACAATTTCTTACATAATCTGTCTCAGCATGATGGAAATGGTATAAAAGTTGCGGCGAGTATTTGCTATGCATCGGTGAGGATTGGAACTGTGTAACAATTAAGTGTCTAACGAATGGCGAAGAGATTTAGCGGCGAACTTTCAACGGCCGTTTTTGCTGAAAAAAGTTTCACCTCTTCTCCCCTAACAGTAAGTTTATCTTTATCAGAGGATGTTAAGTTTGTTTCTTAGATGATGAATTTCCTTTTGATTTAGTTTTTGTTTGTTTGGGTTTTCTTTTGATTTAGTTTTTGTTTGTTTGAATTTAGTGTTGTATTTGAATGTGTATTTGTTTGCTTTTGTTTGTTTGAATTTCAAGTTGTTAATAGATTGAAGAACTTCGTTTAAACCGCATTTTGTTGATTTTCGACGAAGCTAATGCACAACTTAGGGCATTGAAATTTTTTGCAACACTAGTGTCTTCAAGTACTAGTACTGTGCAATATTCATACTATTTAGCTTGATATTACTCTTTCAATGACATTGTCATCTAACTTTCAATGATACATTGTTCAGGCGACCTCCGTCAAATTGACCCCGTGATTGAGAACAACATTGTTCCTTGTTTGGTGATTTTTTTTTTACGGAAATCGGTGTGCAGCACCAAATGCAAGTATAAATCTTTTTTTATCTTGTACTTTTTTTTGCGATTCCTTCCCAATATATTCTACATTATCATATGTCCAGGCCTTAGCAACATGAGCACTGGCAAACATTGCTTGTCTAAGCACGCCGAAGTTGTTGTTGAAAATGGTGTAGTTCCCCTTCTCGTGCTGCTGCTGAGCTGTAAGAAATACGTCATCCAAATGAAGGTATGTAAGAAATACGTCAACCAAATGAAGGTATGAAACCACTATATATATATATATATATATATATATATATATATATATATATATATATATATATATATATATATATATATAGATACTCTAAAATCTATTGATACGCTCCAGTATTCCATTTACTCATTTGTTAGACATTTAAGATAATTGAGTGGCTTCCTATACAACTTGTGCTCCTCTGCTTTATTTTTTAAAATGCATGTGTTTTCTATGTTTATATTTTAAATTGTACATATATAAATGTACATTTTGATTGATATATTTACAATAGGGTATAATGGTTGCATATTCATATAACCATGGTTGTCAAAATCGTGATCCCACTCGTAGGATCGTACGATTTTACGATCGTAGAGCTTGGCGATCTTGTGAAGACAAAAACTTGGATTTCCACCATATAGGATCTCAATTTTGACTATCGAGCAGGTATGAAATATAAGGAATATAACAAGTTGGAGTCTAGATAGTATAACTCCTTCATCAAGTTTATCTTTATCCGCAACAGATAATAATTTCCGAAGGAAAGGCAATACATGAGGTATCTGATGAAGAAAAAATAAGACAACATATAATTGATAATAAAAAAAATTCCAAATTAATGAACAATACTTTGTGCAAATTAACCGAACCTGATCATTAAATTTTAGAGAAATATTTTCTTTGCTTCGTAATGTCCATTTAGTAATCATGAGGACGCGTTTGTTAGTAGTTTTCAACATACACATCAGTGGCGCGAGTGCACCATTTTCAACAACAATATTCTTTTTCTCTAAAGAATCACAAGTTATATTTCTCAACGCCCATGTAGCCTGATCAATACTAAAAAAGTTATATCATATAGAAATAAACTAAATTACACATTTAAATTAAATCATATAAATAAACTTGTTTATTGAAGCAGGTATGATTTAATTTAAATGTGTAATTTTTTTTTATATGATATAACTGTTTAGTATTGAGCAGACTGCATGAGCGTTAGGAAATGTAGCCTGATTCTTTAGAGAAAAGGATATTGTGGTTGGAAATGTTACACTCGCGCCACTGATTTGTATGTTGAAAATTACTAACAAACACATCCTGATGATTTCTAAATGGACATTACGAAAGATGTGCAATGAAAATATTCTTCCAAGATTTAATGATCAGGTTCGGTTAATTTGCACAAAATATTATTCATTAATTTAGACTTTTTATTATTATCAATTGCATGTTGTCTTATTTTTTCTTGATAGATATATCCTGTATTGCCTTTCCTTTAGAGATTATTATCGGTGGCAGATGGAGATAAGCATGATGAAGGAGCTATACTAACCGGACTCTAACTTGTTATATTCCTTGTTCATTCAAGTGAACTATACAAAGTCTTAGCTTAAGAAGACGTGTATTTGCGAATCGTAGAATTTCTTTGATAAGTCCATTAATATAGTTTTTAGTAAAATTGTTCTTTGGTTGACTGACTAACATATTGGATTTCATTATTATAGCTATGATCCAAAATATAGTCAGCTTGCTTTGTATGCTTTAATGGTCATAGGAAATTTGGCACCGTGTGGAAAGACACGAAAACAAGTAAAATGCTACTAGAGCCCTCATTTTTTTCACAGATCTTTTATCACATATCACTGAATTTGCAGTGTGTTTTTTAGATCATAATCGACACTTGAGCTCTCTTTGGTCTTAAGTGACTACTTAAGCAAACTGATCCTTAAAGAAGCATGTTGGATAATTGGGAACCTAGTAGGTGGAACAACATGCCGTTTACAGGTAAAATACGATTTGACCTCGAAAATTGTTTGTTTGTTTGAAAACTCTAAACTCATCGCACGTGGACAATTGGTTACTTAAGCAAAGTATAACTTTGATTGTTTTTTTGAAAACTCTAAACTTGTTCCTTGATATGTTGGCAGTCATTGATGAGGGCTTTATCCCTATTTTGATTGATCTTATGAAGAATAAATTTGACATCAGGTATGAGGCTGCATGGGCAGTTTATTCTGTCAGTTGTGGAAGCTTTAAACAAATAAGGTAAGTCTTACCATTAGATTTAATTTTCCTTCATTCATTTAGCCTGTCTCATTCTATGTGGTGGGTATTGTGGAAAATATTTAATACCATTAGTTGTGGATAATTATAGGTACTTGCTGCATATAGAAGTTATTGAATGCGTAAAGGGATTATGTAATCTCTTTAGTTTTACAAGCGACCCAAAGTTACTTGATGTGTGCCTAAATGGGTTAAACAATTTCTTAATTCAAGGCAACATGCTAATGAAAAAATCTACTGCCAACGTTTATGCCGAACCAATTAAAAATATCAGATATTTGATTTAAGGAGGTTGTCGAGTTTAAAGGATCACAACAATTAAAAATCATGGCCATAATAAATACCAAGCGATCAACATGATGCATATTTATATATTACATAACATATAACCAACCATATTCAACTCCAAATCCAAAAAGGTACACAGATTTTCGGACATACCTGTACAGTAAAAACCATAATTGGTGGGAGCAGGGTAATACATGCTTTGATCAACAATAAACTCGGGAGGTCCTTCGTTAAACATGACTTCGAATGGTTAAAAATTCAAAATTTGGGCTGGTAAACTCTAAGTATAAATCAGCAGCTTCAATCTAAAAAATCAATACACGCGTAATTAAATCGGCTGTGAAACAAACTCAAAGAAGGCATGAAATTGACCTAGGATACATTAAACCCCATACATTGTGTATCTGGAACAAGTTTTCTCTCCCTTCCAGCTTCTCCAAGTCAATCTCTTTTATCTAGTAAAGAGAGGCATTCTTTCCTGTATCCATTGCAAACCAAAAATAAGAAATGCATTGCCAAAAATAACAACCAGACCCCTTCTTCACACCAAAGAGTGTGTCTTCGTAAGCAATGAAGTTAATTGGTAAAATGCGGAGAAATCAACGCCACTTCTCATGGCTACGGCTTGGTGTTTGCTAGCTCCAATCGAGTTCTCTATTGTAAAGGTCTGCTGTAAATTGTTCACCAGTACCTATAAATTGTGCATATGTTTTTAGCTCATCAAATCATATTTTCTTTTTCATAGTTTAGAGTGCAGGTAAGTGATAGCTTCTTGTTAAAAAGAAATATGAAGATAATCAAAATAACCACTTACTGTGATTCCCTGAGGTTGAATGGAGTTTTTCCTTGACCTAAATTGCCTATATCTTCAAATGTGATTCCTCCGAAACCATCACATCGAAAACACATTGAAAAAGAATCTAAAATAAGCCCTTTTTGGGATAGGATGCTTGGAATAAATACATTTTCCATACCAAGTCGAAATAAATCATTTGGAGCTGCACCATTTATAAACACACCCGTCTGAACCTGGCCACAACTGTAATAGAGTCAACCTAAAATTTCGTAAATTGATTTTAAGAAGACACAATCAAAAGGGTATTAATATCAAGAATATGAGAAACATTGGAAACAAAAAGGTTTATTGTAGAAACAATAGTTCAAAAGAGAATAAAACAAAAGCAATGAAGTTGAACTATGTGTGGAGGCTCAAGAATCCAGAAGATAAAGTATCATCCAAACTACAATAAACAACAATGATAAACATAAACCAGAAATCATACCTCATATGAAAGGGGGAAAACTGAATCTGGAAGAAGGAAATGAACATGAACACAAAAAAAAAAATTGTGCAAAAACATATGGAAACATAGATACCTCATGCGAGATGATGAGAAATCAAAACCATTCAAATCCATCGTGCGTTCTTGTTCTTTCCTTCTAACCTATCTACCGATGCAACAAAAAATGACCACTTTGTCACCTTCGTGTTGTGTTCTAAACTTCCATCACACAAAAAAAACACAAGCTTCACACTAAAAAATTGGATCTAAAAATATAAAACCGAGTAAGCAATATATTCCACGAAAAAGTTCTGCAAACACGAAAAAGATGAAGAACATGACCTCCGACACAAACAACACCTCCGACGAGGGGAACGAACCTGATGTGAGAGAAAGGAGGATGCTGAAGGGAGAAGATGTTGTTCTGAACTGCTAGGGTTTCGGGAGAGGGGAGGAGGAAGAAAGATAAAAGTGAGGGAAAATGGGTTTTTTCAAATGTGACGGATGGAGAAAGGAAAAAGTGAAAAAAAATTGGGTCCCTTGGCAAAATGTTTGGTTTTCATTGGACAATATTAATTGATTTAGTTGATTACAATTAAGGGCAATTTGTAGTACAAAGTAATTATGTTAGGAAGGGTAAATTAGGGAGATTGGTGGCATGTTCCAATTGTTGGTGTAAGCCCTAGAGGCCAATACTTTTGGTACTTGTATCGAATTATTTATTAATAATAAAAGACATTTCTTTATTATGTTTGCTTTCCAAAATAATAAAGTCCCTAGAATGGTTTATTTGTTTAATGAAATGTTAAGTGAGACTTAATCATGAGATCCCATTAAACATAAGACACTATTCTTAAAGTATCCGTAGTCAAGCTTTAATGTGAAGTGGGATAACATTAAAGCATTAAGATTATTATGAAGATAGATTGATGATCACATCTCATGGATCATAGATAAGGAGTTATCAAGTCTTGACATAGGTATGAATATTAGGAGTAATATTTATACTGGATTGACCCGCTATGAGAATACTACATAGAATGTTATGCAAAGTGTCATAAGTTATTCTCATGATGATAATGGTGTATACCACCCTTCGACCTGAAACCACTATAGACCCTAGATGTAGAGTCAAGTACTTTATTGCTGATCAAACGTCATCCATAACTGGATGACTATAAAGACGATTGATGGGTATTTCACAAAGCATGCTAAGGGACATGAGTGACCTAGATGGAATTTGCTCATCCTGCATAACATGATAAATGTCTAAGGGCCCAATATTGAACTGGACAAGGGTGACACAGTGTATGCCTTGCGTTCAATATAGACATGAGGGCAAAAGGGTAATTGTACAACACAAATATTATCACGGAAAAGGTTTGGTCAGATCACATGACATTTTCGTGACTTGGGTAACAACGATGTGTTGCTAGATACCGCTCACTGTTTATTATATTAAATGTGTGATTTAATATAATTGCCAACGTCGCGAAAACCTACAGGGTCACACACATAAGGACAGGTTGATGAGAGGTAGAATAAATAAGGAACACCGTAAGGTACGATGCACTTAAGTGTAATACGGAAAGTGGTAAGGTACCACGTGGATAAGTGATATATAGTACATCATAAGGTATGATGTCCATAAGCTTAATTGGGCTTTTAGCTTGTAGTCCACACGAGTGATTCTATAAATAGATCCCTTGTGATGAAGCAATTTCACTTGATGCAATTTCGTTTTTGATTCTCTCTCTCACTCAAGGTTTCCGTTCGTGATCAGCTAGCACTGTGACCGGAA